GAAATTTACCTGTAGCAGGTAACATTGACATACTTATGGGGTATAACTGAATTACAAAATAGTATCCTCATTTTTTGATATGGCGGCCAATCAGGACAGAGATCTATTCTCGAAGTAGATTGTTTTCTGTGTGAAAAATTGGGGGAAATCTCACAAAATGGAAATATTAACCCCTTGGAGCCTTCGTTTCAAGATCAGAACAGATGATGAAATACTGGAGGTGGAAAAAGTGCTCTGGGTAACATACTCTATATATAGTAACAGATGTTACTGTAATAGATGATGGAAAAATTAAATGTTGGGATATTACAGGCAGGGTGCCGGAATGTTCTAGGGGCAAGTTGTTGGGGGGAGGGGGGTTCAGAGGTGTTCTTGACCAGAGAACAATAAAAACCAAGACACCAAAGATGTTGTAGACCAGAGGACAGTAAAAACTGAAACACCAGAGGACAACTATAACTAGGTGAATTAGAAACAATGATACGTTTTTACTGTCAGACCCGAAATCGTCAAGCTTACCGTAACTTTCAAATAAATAACCCAAAATTATATATTTATTTTTTTATTCAGGATGTCTGAATGGGATTGGGGAACAGGCTTAGCCTATATAATACGCCACTTGCAAATGTAGAAGATATTTCTAAATGAAAAGAATCTGATAAGCCCCGAGAATATCTAATATGGACACTGTCTTTTATGGGCACGTCAATGTGTACACGGAACCTAAGGATTTTTATTTGTCCCATTCAAACAACTATACATTGTTCCTTACCAGGCCCGCCCCGTCTGGCACCACGACAAATTGGGAAGATGCCAATGAACACAGGGATCCAAGTGTCATCTATTACTGATGGGGGCCTCAAGGAAACCAATTCATCTGAGGGCCCAAAGCTACCCATTGAGCCCCCCCACACACCTCAGCTAGAAATTGAAGCTAAAACAAGACTATACTATTACTACCAAGAACAAAGGATCAAAATATATTCAAATTCTGACATTAAATAAAATGTTAGAAAGAGACTACCGAAAGATACATGAGACCTATTCAAGTCACTGATGCAAATGTGTACACAGGACCTTGGTTTTTCGTCCATCCGAACTACTAAACAGAGGATTAAAATACCTTTGAATTCTGACATTAGAAAATGAAACAAGATACATGAGACCTATTCAAGTCACTGATATAAATAAACAATGGATTTCCTTAAATCAGTTCTGTTACCCCGTAAAGCAAAATTAAGGCTAGCTTCCGTACGACTCAATATTTTGAGCTGAAACTTTGAGACAAGCTATTCGTCTAAAAACAATCACGAATCATAAACATTTTTTTTTTTTTAGAATTAAATTTAAAAAAGGATAAGAATCCGTAAAAAAGAGAGAGAGAAATCGGGTTTAACGTCCACTCAACACAAACTAGGTCATTTCGGGACTAACATATGGTTTAATTTTATTTACATAATTCGCTTGCGCGTAGGGGTCTTTAGCAGTGGGAGGAAACCGGAGGACCCAGAGAAAACCCACGAGATTGGACAGGCGACCCTACTCCATGCCATGTACAACCGGGGATTCGAAACCACGCCAGTCGACTCAATGACAGGTGTTTAAAAGTTGGGGATACCAAGAATGATTTGAGACAAGCTATCTGGTGATTTTTTGATTGGTTCATAGACTTTAGCTAGGATCAAGGCCAGGGCAAATAATTTGAAATCCTGGAAACCCTATGGATTAACCCAGGGTATAGTGGAGTAGAATGGAATGATAACACTGGCGATACCGAGGATGATTTGAGACAAGCTATCAGGTGTTTAAAAGTTGAATATTTAGGCCAAATCTGTTTAATTATTAGTTCTACTATTACAATGAACAACAAAATATTAAAAGACATTAAATTCTGACATATTTGATATTTCATAGTTACAATGTCACTGTAATAGACAATGAAAATAATTAAACATTTGGACATTACAGGCAGGATGTCGGAATGGTCTAGTGGCAAGTTGTTGGGGGGAGGGGCAAACGTGTACTGGGCCACAGGACAATAAAAACTGAAACACCAGAGGAAAACAATTACTAGGTGAATTAAAAACAAATGATATGTTTTTACTGTCAGACCCGAAATCCTCAAGCTTACCGTAACTTTAAAATAAATAATGAAAGATAATATTTCTAAATGTATAAGATTATATTAAAGGGACTATCCCGATTTGAACAGAGCCTCAAAAATAAAAGTCCAAATGTATGAAATTTAAGCGCAAAAAAATAGAGGAAAGGTGTATTTAGCTTGTCTCAAAAATTTCAGCCCAAAATATTAAGTCGTTTGGACATGAACGTCAAAACTGCTTATCCGGACACGTAACCCTTTTAAGATTTTGGGTCGATTTTTTTGTTGGGTGACCTGATAATCGATTCCCGTTCCTTTAGAGGTCTATACATTGATTGACCCATGTGCTGTACTTAATTACGAAAGGTAAATTTCACCTACACATTATTTTTATAAAATAAGTCTGGTTTTATCCAGACACCGTATAATACCGGTTGGGACACTGGTCTCCATTTTCAGATGAAGACTGACGGATTTAAGTTGTTTGAAAACGTATCACATAATATATTGAGTTAGTTGTTCGGCTTGCGGTAGAGGATTTGAGGGGATTTTAACAAAAAATTAAGCAGTTTTATTCTCCAAAATATTATCGGGATTGGCCCTTCTTACTAAATGAAAAGATTATATTTTTCGTATGTAGGGCTGTGGTGATCCCCTTAAACAACCTTTCCAAATCAGAACAGAAGTTTGAAATTGGCTTAGCTAGGCAGAAGGAATTCATTCCAAACATGGACATATTTTTAAAAAAACAATGTTTTTTCTTTTTACATTTTTAATTGGGTTAAAGCAGATGTGCTGAACGCCTCACATGTGATGAGGGAGAGCAACAGTCAACAGCTGCAGATACTGCAAACCAGAGTGGGCCATCAGGACCAAATATTTTCTCAGTCGATGCGGCGGAAATGAAATGAAATGGGGTTTAACGTCCTACTGTTCTGCTCCTATACTGGGCTAATGAAGACGGGCATACGCCATACAGAGTGCTATGAGGGAAATTTTGCCCAGGCAGCGGCACTATCGCCTACTCTTATATCGAATTCCAACTGCCAAGGGATCTTTTACGTGCATTCCAATGTATACACGGGGCCTCGGTTTTTCGTCTCATCCGAAGGACTAGACAGCTGTCCTTGTCAGGCCCTCCTTTCTGCCGATGCGGCGGAGATTTTTCAGATTCCCAATTCTGTACCGGTCCAGCACCACCAAGGTACTACGACATGCATGTCAATTTCTCACCATTTATCGGATAGTCTCCGCCAGGATATTTGAACGGATAAATTTGTGGATCTGTCGCTACTCCTGCCGGGGAATATGGTGCAAACCCAGTTGGCTTTGAATATTACTGACACAGATACTGAGCCAACTATTAAGATATCTTCATCTCCAAAATCCAAATTGTTGACCTTTGAGCTCTGGCAGAAAGCATTTTCAATTTTTATGGATGTTATGATACAAAAAGATCCCTTAGTAGCGTCCAAGTTATGGTCATATTCGTAACTCATATCTGAGTTGGCACAGACTTAAGGGGGCAGATCCTTTCTATATTACGATGTAGAGTTTCGCATGTTACGTCAATCAACCTCCTTTCCATGAGATTTGATGCATGCCGACCTATGGTTAAAGGCTACGACTCTTTTTAGTGCTACATGTAATAGATCGGTGTCAAACTAAGCCTCCCACTTGTTATTTTGTTCTTCCCTTGGATATTGGGGGATGGGGTTAGTTTGAATGGAGACACAAAAAACCCTTTCCTATCAAGAACAAAGGATCAAGATACATTTAGATTCCGACATAAAAAAATGTCAGAATCTGATTATATGAAGATATTTAAGATTTATTCACTAAACCATTAAAAAAAAAAAAATGAAATGAAATTGGGTTTAACGTTCTACTGTTTTGCTCTGAACTGGGCTAATGAAGACAGGCATACGCCATACAGTGTGCTATGAGGGAAATTTTGCCCAGACAGCTGCACTACGGCCTACTCTTATATCGAATTCTAACTGTCAAGGGATCTTTTACGTGCACGCCAATGTGTACACGGGACCTTGGTTTTTTGTCCCATCCGAACGACCTGCATCACTGACAAGGGAGCTAAACCCATTAAAGTTGAACCCTAGAGCCAATATAAACATTATGTTAATAATGATCTTTGTGTTGTAGTCTTTCCTCGTCTGTTGTTTGGACATACCATGTGCAGTCCTTGTATGTTCTTTGTATACACCTTATGCAAATGAGTTAGTTTCCCGCTTTTTATTCCCGCTCTTCATAACAGAAAGATTTTCGAGGCAGACAAGTTATGTGTAAATTGTAACAATATTTTCTAATAATACAGTGTGTGGTTGGTGTATTAGTGGTGTATTAGTGCTTGTTTATGCTGATCGTGAGTTCTGCACGTTTTAGATTTATGTTGTTAAAGCGTTTTCGATGTGTTTCGTAACGTAATCGAACAAATAGGATTTTAGAATCGTTTTCTTTATCTATTGTGGCTGCCTCGTTTTGGAATCCATCATGGCGTGTGATACGGCCACATCGGTTAAGCCTGACGCTTTGTTTACAGTTAATAAACACATTCATATTGAACATCGGGTATTGTCCAGCCCACTTAAAATAGTGATTTATGGTACATCGTATATCAAGCGTTTAAATACTTTTTTAACTACTTACAGACATTCAAATTTAGATTTGGATGGGAATTTGTGCCAAGTTCGTTGTTGGGGTCATGGCGGGTTGCGAGTCCGAAGTGACCCGCATGGACGACTGGTTCGGGCGGCAGAGAGCAGCAAATTTAGACAGGCAGACATCATTTATTTACATTTAGGTTCGAACGATATTGAATCACCGGAGTCTTTGCCATATGAAGTAGCCTCCGCTGTTTTAAATTTTGCCGCTTTGCTTATGACTCGGCATCACCCCAAATGTGTAATTATCAGCCAGCTGTTACCAAGATTTATTGAGCCGTTCGAGGGATTTAATAATGCAATTAAATCCACTAATTTACATTTGATGGAACTATGCCATGCGGCTAATTTTGATGTGAGTTTTTGGCGACATCGAGCTGGGTTGTGGCAACCAAGGCAACATATTTACACCAACGACGGCATTCACTTGTCCAATACAGTGGGCAATCTGTTATTCATGCGCAGCATCCGGGATGCGTTATTGCGGCATATTCGTTGGTATTTCCCGGTTAGTAGCCACTTTCTATAATTTACAATCATACAGTGTGTTATAGATATGTAATTTGATGCAAATCCTCATACCGGTAGTATAATCCATGTGTTTGGCATACCGACTGATATGTTTTGGAATTTATATGACTGATTTGTCTGTTGGAATTGTCTATGCATAAACTTGTCTGTTGGCTTGGTCCATGTTTTTGGATTATACAGACTGATGTATTGGAAATTATATGACTGTTTTGTCTGTTGAAATTGTCTTATACAGACTGATGAATTGAATATTATATGACTGTTTTGTCTGTTGAACTTGTCTATGCATAATCTTGTCTGTTGGCTTAGTCCAGGTTTTTGGATTAAGCAGACTGATGATATCTGAATTATACAAACTGATTTGTTTGTAGAACAGACTTGTTTGTTGGCATAACCCATGTATTTTGGGAGTTGCTTAACTGTTACCCGAGTTGTCGGTTGTTAGATGCAACTCGACAGTTGCAATTTTTCCAGGCAGTGTGAGTTAATTGTGTTTTTTCTTTTGCAGTCACAAGATGTCAAAAAGAAAGCGGCAATCGCCCATTGAACCCGTCGCTTCAGACAGTGAGGAGGATTCATCCACTCCTATGATTACCACCGCAGAAGAGCGGATCACCGAGTTGTTAATCAAAAAATTGCTACGAAGGGGTTTGGTCATGGTACCCCCGGCACCTGCATCAGTTCCCACACCTCCTGCTACTACGTGTACCTCCACTCAGGGATCTTCATCTTCGACCACTGCTTCTACCTCCACGCCAGAACCATCAACTTCAACCTCCATCAATGAACCATCAGCTGTTTCTACAGATCCGAATATTTTTTCTGTGAACGCAGCACAATTGTTTCAATGCCCTGTACCCCAGCCACAACTATTGGACACTGTGCCTCAACATCCACACATGCAGGGTACAGGTATGTCGGTGTCTCGTCACTTATCTGATAAACTCCGCCAAGATATTTGGGCGGATAGATTTGTAGATTTTGCTCTACTCTTGCCTGGGCCTGTGCAAACTCAGTTTGCACTAAATATTTCGGAATTTAATGAAGAACCGGTATTAAAAATTTCATCTGCACCTAAATCAAAAGTGCTTTCGTTTGATCAATGGCAGAAAGCATTTGCCGTGTTCATGGACGTCATGATTCTAAAAAATCCGCACATGGCGTCCAGTTTGTTAGTATATTCATCTTTGATATCTGAGTTAGCACAGACCTATGGCGGGAAATCGTTTAATTATTACGATACTAATTTTAGAATGTTACGCCAATCAAGCCCTTACCCTTGGGATATAATGCATGCCGATTTCTGGCTAAAAGCTACCACGCTGTTTAGTGCTTCGGTTCTCAGGCCTGTGTCCTCCCAAGCTTCCTACAACCAGGGTTCTGGTGGTCGGGGGCCTAGTTGTTGGGGTTATAACAGAATGTCTGGATGTAAGCGTCAACGCTGTGAATTTTCACATGTTTGTAGTCGCTGTGGATACAAACATCCTGCATTTCGTTGTTATGCTACAGCAAACCAAACGTCACGTTATGGTAATGTTCGTCCTAGGAGTCCTCCCTTAAATGGGACCAGGGTGGAACATACTTACATGAACCCAGCCTCATATGCTGCCTCTTCCTATCCATCCATGCCTAGTTCTCGTCCTCAGACAGCTGTAGCTGCCAGAGCGAACTTTCAACCTACCGCTGCACCCGCTACGTTCACAAATATGCCATCGCACATTGCGGCGGTTCAGAATACAGTTCCGCCACGACTCTCATCCTCTCCTTTATTTTCTTCATCTACACAGCTTCCATCCAAACAACCGCACGCCAAAACAGGATTGCCAGTGTCAAAATCTCGGTACTCATTTCGTAAAGACAATCCACCCGCAAGTAAAGGTGCCAACACCAATCGACCCCAGTAGACTTCAGGAAGTGTTGTCGGGTTACAACGAAAATGAGATAAAATTTTTGTATGAAGGTTTTGTTTCTGGTTTCAGGATTCCATATGTTGGACAACGGGCTTTCTCCTGGGCTAGGAATCACTCATCTTGTTATTTAAATCTGGAAATACTTTTTAAGAAAATCAATGATGAGCTCCTAGCCGGGAGAATCATGGGCCCTTTTTTAGAACCCCCATTTCCAAATTTACGTTGCTCTCCTCTTGGAGTGATTCCCAAACAGGAGAAAGATACGTTTCGCCTGATACATGATCTGTCATTTCCCCTGGGCAATTCTGTAAATTCTGGAATCGACCCTTTCTATACCGAAGTGCATTATGACTCCATAGACACAGTCGTTTCCCTGGTTAAGCAACATGGTCGAGGTGCACTCATGGCCAAAACTGATATTCAAAATGCGTATAGGTTATTGCCCATCCACCCTGATGATTATGAGCTTTTGGGTTTCTCCGTCGAGGTGGAAGGACAACATTATTATTTTGCGGACATGTGTTTACCAATGGGCCTCAATATGAGTTGCCAGACTTTTGAGCGATTCAGTACAGCGTTACATTGGGTAATGGAAACCAAATACAATTCATTTATTAGTCACATGATTGATGATTTTTTCTTTATTGGCCCACCTAACACTTCCGTTTGTGCAGATTCCTTGCAAAATTTTATGAGTCTTACCCAATATTTACATATTCCCATTAAAGCTTCCAAAACTGTTAATCCCACAACAACAATAACCATTTATGGAATCGAAATTGATTCTATTCAAATGGTGAGTCGCTTACCGGACGAAAAAGTTATCAAAGTTCGAGCTGCTTTGTCTGAATGTCTAGATAAACGTAAAGTGACACTTAAACAACTCCAATCCCTGCTAGGCCTTCTAAATTTTGTCACGTTGGTAGTTGTTCCGGGACGTACATTCCTTCGCCGACTGTATGACCTTACCATCGGGGTTGCTAAGCCGTACTACAAAGTAAGATTAAATAACTCAGCCAAAGCTGATATTAGGATTTGGCACCAGTTTATGCAGGGATTTAATGGTCGATGCATGTTTATGAGTGATGCCTGGCTGGCGTCAGATTATTTGAAGTTATTCACCGATGCCGCATCGTCCAAGGGTTATGCAGCGGTGTTGAATTCCAAATGGTTTTACGGCACATGGCCTCCACAAATGCAGACTATGAGTATTAACGTTCAGGAACTTTTTCCAATTGTGCTTGCAATTGAACATTGGGGTCCCTTATTGCGAAATCATAAATTGCTTGTGTTATCTGACAATGAGTGTGTTGTGTTTGTTATCAACAAAGCAACCTCCAAATGTCCACATTTAATGAAGTTAATCCGTCGTTTAATTTTAGCTGCGATAAAATATAATATACTAATCAGGTCTAAACATATTCAAGGCAAATCAAATCTGGTTGCTGATTGTCTGTCCCGTTTTAAATTTCAGCAAGCCAGACATTGGGCTCCATGGTTAGAGACCAACCCTCAAATTTTGAATCAAGATCTTTTGAAGATTTAACTCCAACAGCACTTACATTAATTGGTGCAGCTTTGACCCCATCATCCAAAGCAAATTATTTCCGAGCATGGGTGAGGTTTGTCGATTTTTGTAAGGAACGACAGTTGTCCCCTTGCTTCCCTCTTCCTAATCAACTTGTTATTAATTACTTTGCTCATATGTTTGATTCAGGTTTTGCACCAAGTACCATAGCGTCACACGCATCTGTTCTTGCCTTTGTTCAAAAATTGTTAGGTTACCCCGACACAATTAATTCCTTTCTGTTGAAAAATCTCTTAAAGGGAGCCCGTAAAATGCATGTCCCTTTACAATCCCGCCTGCCAATTACTTCAGAAATTTTGACCCGAATTATTCAAGCTCTTCCTATAGTTATATCTTTGGAAATTCATTGTGTTTTGTTACGAGCAGTTTTTTCTCTAGCGTTTGCTGGTTTCTTTCGACTCGGTGAATTAGTTTTCAAAACTACCTCTTCAGTTGCTAATATCATTCTAACCCAAAAGGTACAGTTTTCCTTTGATCATAATAACCTCACTTTCCTTCAAATTGCTATGGAGAATTTTAAACATAAAACAACAGCATCCCCTATGTATCTTTTTATTTATTGTAAATGTGTTTCGGGTACACATAATCCTATTTGTGCACCGTATTGTTTGCTCCAATACATGAAACGTTGCCCCCATTCTTCAGGCCCGTTATTTCAGTTTTCTAATTCCACCTGTGTTACATATAACTTTGTTAATGCGTCGTTGCAAAAACTTTTGACATTCATGGGTTTGCCAACTAGCCTATACAAATTGCATTCCTTTAGAATTGGTGCAGCAACAACCGCATTTATTCAGGGCCATTCAGAAGAGGCAATCCAAAAAATGGGTCGCTGGAAAAGCTCTGCAGTTAAATCATACATCCGCCTTCCTGTTTTGTCGATGTAGACCAAATATACTTTTGAATTTGCGGGGTTTAGGGTCATTTATGTTAGTAAGGACTGGGTTGGCATTTTATTATCATTTTCCTATTGTGTATTCACTTTATTATGTGTGTATTCACTAATGACTGATGCATATTTTTGTGATTGTCTTCATTTATGTTACGATCGTCATCGCCAGTACAGCGTAGGCTGACTGACACCGGTGTTTGTAATTGAATTGCTGAAGCTTGTATTATATGTTTCTTGTATTAGATGATTTTATGTACATATTTGTAGGCTGAATGACGCCTGTTATTATATTTTAAGCGAGTTTTTAATTTTTTCCTTGTATATTGCGATGTTAAAGTCAGTACAGCGTAGGCTGAGATGACTTATTGATGAAGCCAGTACAACGTAGGTTGACTGGCAGATTTTTTCTCTTAGTTATGAAACCAGTAAAGTGAAGGATGCCCAACGCATATTTCTTTTTATCCATGAGCTGTTTTAGTGTATTTATGTTTGTATTTTTTATCCAGCTATTGACATCGTAGGCTTAAGTGGGTTTTAGGTTTCTCTGACAAGTGACACACCTATCTTTTATTGTTATGCATGTTATATATTACGATTGATAATGTTTCCTTTTATTTGCAACTTGTTTAGGCTTAGGCTTTTTGTCATTTGTTAAGTAAGTACAAAGTGGGCCGATTGACGCAGTGTGGTTAGTTTTTGTACAATGTCCATCAATATTATTTCTCATTTGTGTTGTGTTTGTAATTTTAATCTCTCAGATGAAAATTCGGATGGTGTTTTTTGGTTTTGGGCACGACATCACGAGAAGTGATGTGTTTGGCCATTCATTCATTAAATTGTTAAGCCCAACCAAAGTTCTAGGATGGAATTATGAGTTTATTTTTATTCTTAATGTATATATTTATATTATGTTAAATACTTTTATATATTGCTAAATTCATAATCCATTTTAATAGTCATTAAATAAATGACATTGTACACCATCCGTTATTTGTTTGTTCTTTTTGGTGCTGGGGAAAGGGTATTTGATATAGAACGGAGAACACAAATAAACATTATGTTAATAATGATCTTTGTGTTGTAGTCTTTCCTCGTCTGTTGTTTGGACATACCATGTGCAGTCCTTGTATGTTCTTTGTATACACCTTATGCAAATGAGTTAGTTTCCCGCTTTTTATTCCCGCTCTTCATAACAGAAAGATTTTCGAGGCAGACAAGTTATGTGTAAATTGTAACAATATTTTCTAATAACCCTCCACCTCCCCAGCTCCACCTAGAATTTCTTTTTGTTTTATAATTTTATACGAAACTTTTCACTGTTTATGCCATATATGCCATTCATTCATTAAGTGCCATTCATTCATTAAATTGTTAAGCCCAACCAAAGTTCTAGGATGGAATTATGAGTTTATTTTTATTCTTAATGTATATATTTATATTATGTTAAATACTTTTATATATTGCTAAATTCATAATCCATTTTAATAGTCATTAAATAAATGACATTGTACACCATCCGTTATTTGTTTGTTCTTTTTGGTGCTGGGGAAAGGGTATTTGATATAGAACGGAGAACACAAAAACCGATTAGCTATCCTATCACTAGAGTCCAACTCAGCAGGGTCGTCCATCTCCCTCCGCAAATTTGCAAATATCTGACTATCGGAAGATCTGTGAGAATTATACACTAAACATACGAGGAAATGTCATATTTTTGATATTAAAAACATATTTTTGAATTCAGAATACCAAAAACCACATGAACAGGACTTTTAGGATTTTTCAAGTTTGGTGCTTATTTATTTGGCCACGGGTGCCCCCTGTAAGAAAGTTGTGTCTAGTTGTTTGGACAAGATGTTAAATGGAGATCCGACCAGATTTATATTAGGTTCAGAATCAATGCTATCCTATTACAATCAAGAACAAAGCATCAAAATACATTCAGATTCTAACATGTGATGAAGAAGACTAAATGTCATGGCAATGTCTGTTGCGATGGTCAAATCTGCACTACAATTGGTGATGTTGCCAGTTGTAAAGAGGGTAAGTACTTTGAAAGAGAAAGGGATTAACGCCCACTCGGCCCAAACTAGGTCATTTTGGGACTAACATATTCGATTTAGATCATGGTCTTAAGCAGTTGGAGGAACCAGAGACAAGATGGGTAATAGGTCCTGCCAGCCACCCCTACTCTATGTAGATTAGATTGAAAGATGGGTAATAGGTTCCGCTGGACACCTCATCTCTATGTAGATTAGATGGAAAGATGGGTAATAGGTTCTACCAGCCACCCAATCTCTATGTAGATTAGATTGAAAGATGGGTAATAGGTTCTACCAGCCACCCCATCTCTATGTAGATTAGATTGAAAGATGGGTAATAGGTTCTACCGGCCATGCCATCTCTATGTAGATTAGATTGAAAGAAAGGTAATAGGTTCTACCAGCCACCCCATCTCTATGTAGATTAGATTGAAAGATGGGTATTAGGTCCTGCCAGCCACCCCTACTCTATGTAGATTAGATTGAAAGATGGGTATTAGGTCCTGCCAGCCACCCCTACTCTATGTAGATTAGATTGAAAGATGGGTAATAGGTCCTGCCAGCCACCCCTACTCTATGTAGATTAGATTGAAAGATGGGTAATAGGTCCTGCCAGCCACCCCTACTCTATGTAGATTAGATTGAAAGATGGGTAATAGGTTCTGCTGGCCACCTCATCTCTATGTAGATTAGATTGAAAGATGGGTAATAGGTTCTACCAGCCACCCCATCTCTATGTAGATTAGATTGAAAGATGGGTAATAGGTTCTGCTGGACACCTCATCTCTATGTAGATTAGATGGAAAGATGGGTAATAGGTTCTACCAGCCACCCCATCTCTATGTAGATTAGATTGAAAGAAAGGTAATAGGTTCTACCAGCCACCCCATCTCTATGTAGATTAGATTGAAAGATAGGTAATAGGTTCTACCAGCCACCCCATCTCTATGTAGATTAGATTGAAAGATAGATAATAGGTTCTACCAGCCACCCCATCTCTATGTAGATTAGATTGAAAGATGGGTAATATGTTCTGCTGGCCACCTCATCTCTATGTAGATTAGATTGAAAGATAGGTAATAGGTTCTACCAGCCACCCCATCTCTATGTAGATTAGATTGAAAGATGGGTAATATGTTCTGCTGGCCACCTCATCTCTATGTAGATTAGATTGAAAGATAGGTAATAGGTTCTACCAGCCACCCCATCTCTATGTAGATTAGATTGAAAGATGGGTAATAGGTTCTGCTGGCCACCTCATCTCTATGTAGATTAGATTGAAAGATGGGTAATAGGTTCTACCAGCCACCCCATCTCTATGTAGATTAGATTGAAAGATGGGTAATAGGTTCTACCAGCCACCCCATCTCTATGTAGATTAGATGGAAAGATGGGTATTAGGTTCTACCAGCCACCCCATCTCTATGTAGATTAGATTGAAAGATAGGTAATAGGTTCTACCAGCCACCCCTACTCTATGTAGATTAGATTGAAAGATGGGTAATAGGTTCTGCTGGACACCTCATCTCTATGTAGATTAGATTGAAAGATGGGTAATAGGTTCTACCGGCCATGCCATCTCTATGTAGATTAGATGGAAAGATGGGTAATAGGTTCTGCTGGCCACCTCATCTCTATGTAGATTAGATTGAAAGAAAGGTAATAGGTTCTACCAGCCACCCCATCTCTATGTAGATTAGATTGAAAGATGGGTAATAGGTTCTGCTGGCCACCTCATCTCTATGTAGATTAGATTGAAAGATGGGTAATAGGTTCTACCGGCCATGCCATCTCTATGTAGATTAGATGGAAAGATAGGTAATAGGTTCTGCTGGCCACCTCATCTCTATGTAGATTAGATTGAAAGAAAGGTAATAGGTTCTACCAGCCACCCCATCTCTATGTAGATTAGATTGAAAGAAAGGTAATAGGTTCTACCAGCCACCCCATCTCTATGTAGATTAGATTGAAAGATGGGTATTAGGTTCTACCAGCCACCCCATCTCTATGTAGATTAGATTGAAAGATGGGTAATAGGTTCTACCGGCCATGCCATCTCTATGTAGATTAGATGGAAAGATGGGTAATAGGTTCTACCAGCCACCCAATCTCTATGTAGATTAGATTGAAAGATGGGTAATAGGTTCTACCGGCCATGCCATCTCTATGTAGATTAGATTGAAAGATGGGTAATAGGTTCTGCTAGCCACCTCATCTCTATGTAGATTAGATTGAAAGATGGGTAATAGGTTCTACCGGCCATGCCATCTCTATGTAGATTAGATGGAAAGATGGGTAATAGGTTCTAGGGACAATCCTATTGTAACCCACCTACATAAGTAATAGCCCTTTTATCTATTAC